GATTTATAATTTTATTTTATTATTACATAATAAATTACTCAAAAAGAATATATATTGTATTATATTTTATTCAAAAATAAAGAAATCAGTTAGAAAACCCACCAAAATATCACTTCCGAAGGTTTACCTTAATGTATTCCTAAAAAATAAGTGAAGAAAAATAAAGAAAACAGTTAGAAACCCATCAAAATACCACCTCTGAAAGGCTTACCTTAATGTATTCCTAAAAAAAGTAAAGAAAAAATAAAGAAATCAGTTAGAAAACCACCAAAACATCACTTTCAAAGGCTTACCTTAATGTATTCCTAAAAAAAAGTAAAAAAAAAATAAAAAAAACAGTTAGAAAACCCACAAAAATACCACCTTTGAAGGCTTATATTCCTAAAAAAAAGTAAAAAAAAATAAAGAAAACAGTTAGAAAACCCACAAAAATACCACTTCCAAAGGCTTACCTTAATGTATTCCTAAAAAAACAAGTAAAGAAAAATAAAGAAAACAGTTAGAACCAAAATACCACTTCTGAAAGGCTTACCTTAATGTATTCCTAAAAAAAAGTAAAGAAAAAATAAAGAAAGCAGTTAGAAACCCACCAAAATACCACTTCTGAAAGGCTTACCTTAATGTATTCCTAAAGAAAGTAAAGAAAAAATAGAGAAAAAAAGGTTAAAACCCATCTAAAAGTCACCTTTAAAAGGCTTACCTTAGTTTTGAAAAGAGAAATTTCCTAAAAAAAGCAAAGAAAATAAAGAAAAAACAGTTAAAAACCATCTAAAAGTTACTTCTGATTTGCTTACCTTAATAACCAAAATAAGAATTTCCTAAAAAACAAGAACAAAGAAAGGAAAATGCCACAAAAGTCACTTCTGATTCACTTACCTTAATTTCAAAATAAGAATTTCCTAAAAAAAACAAGAAAAAAGAAAGGAAATGGTTAAATTTCTGCCCAAAAATCGCCTTACTAGGAAAAAAAAAAAAAAAGGAAGAAATAAATTTTTTCAGAATATTATGAAAGTTTATCAGTTTTATATTGTAAACTGAACTAAAATTTCGAAATTTAGATATTATTTTTACTTATCATAAATGCTACAAATGGATGATTTTGCATCATTCGATTGATATTTTGATCGTTCCTAAGAATAATATAGAAAATTGTTCTAAAGGAACGATAATTTGATCGTTCATTAAGAACGATATCAAAAATCGTTCGAAAGGAACGATAGTTTGATAGTTCTTAAGAACAATATAGAAAATCATTCCAATAGAATGATGTAAAATATTATTTTAAAGGAACGATGAAGTATCATTCTAAAGAAATGATAAAGTATCGTTCTAAAGAAACAATTATATATTGTTTCAATAGAACGATAAAAAGTCATCATTCTTTCAAAATGATGGTATATCATTCCTTTAGGAACGATTTCAATCGTCTTTTTTAGAATGAATATTCATTTCTTTTGAGATGATTTCTATCATTTCTTTTGGAAATAAATATATCGTTCCTTTTGAGACGATTTCAATCGTCTCTTTTTGAATAAATGTATTGTTCCTTTAGAGACAATTTCTATTGTCTCTTTGGAATGATTGTTCATTCATTTTGAGACGATTTCTATCGTCTCTTTTGGAATGAATGTATCATTCCTTTTGAAACAATTTCTATCATCTCTTTTGGAACCAATGTATCGTTCCATTTGAGATGATTTCTATTGTCTCTTTTAGAACGAATGTATCGTCTCTTTGGGATGATTACTCTCAAAATTTTTTTATAATTTTCGCAAAAATTGGCTTAACAGATTTCGATCAGTGAGATATAGTTGATTTGTTGTTAAATCTTGAGTCTAACTGAAATTTTGCTGATTATTATAACCGAAAGGTCTTAATACCGAAATAATACTAAATTATGTATGGTATAACAAAATAACTATCGATTTTTGTGACTTAAGCCAAATTTTTTCTGAATCACATGATTGAATCGGCTAAATGTTTGACGAAAGATCTAATGCTGAAATAATGCTAAATTATGTGTGGTGTAACAAATAACTATCGATTTTTGTGACTTAAGCTGAATTTTGCCAAATCATATAACCGAATTAGCTGAATGTTAGCTGAATGGTATTAATACTGAATAAAATGATTTCGACTAGTGTTAACGATTCGTTAAATGAAATTCGTAATAATGAATTATAATGAAATTTGTTGAACGATTTATTACGAAATTTGTAATAATGATTAGTTAAGAATTTTATAATGAATTACAATAAAATTCGTCAAACGAAGACGAATTTCGCATTCGAAGATGATTATTGTCGTTTCAAAGACGAATTTCACATTAAAAGGTGATTTTTGTCAATTCAAAGACGAATTTCATTTTGAAAGTGAAATTTCGCCAATTTGAGATGAATTTCGTCATTTTGTAGCTAAATATCATATTCAATGAAGATTTTCATTTTTATTACCTTTTTATTATTATTTGTTTACTATTAATCTTATGTATCATAGTAAAACATAAAACATATATATTTAACCTTTTTTAGCAAATTGGAATCATCCTTTTTTCATTTTCTTTTCTTTCTTTTTTTTTTTTTAGAAACGCTTTTTTCTCAATTTTTACTAATATTTTTTCAGGTATAATAAGTAGCTTTTTGGAACTCTTTCAGAAGTATGTTTCAGTTTTTTACTTATTTTTTTTTACTAAATCTTCTTTCTTTTAGATAAGTTAAGTAGCATTTCTATGGTGGGTTTCAGATATTTACTATTTTTTTTTTCTTTTTTAATAGAAGTGGACTTTTTTACTATTAGTTAATGTAAGTCTACAAATCGGGATTGTAGTTTTTTCAGGTTTTTACTAATTTATTTTCTTTTTTTAATAAAAGTAAACTTTTTTACTATTGGTTAAGGTAAGTTTACAAATTAGGATGGTAGTTTTTCAGGTTTTTACTAATTTTTCTTCTTCTTTTAATAGAAGTAGACTTTTTTACTATTGGTTAATATAAGTCTACAAATCGGAATAGTAGTTTTTTCAGGTTTTTCTTTTTTTTAATAGAAGTGGACTTTTTTGCTATTAGTTAAGGTAATTCTACAAATAAGGATGGTAGATTTTTCAGGTTTTTACTAATTAATTTCTTTTTTTAATAGAAGTGAACTTTTTTACTATTGGTTAATGTAAGTCTACAAATCGGGATAGTAGTTTTTTTAGGTTTTTCTTTTTTTTAATAGAAGTGGATTTTTTTTGCTATTAGTTAATGTAATTCTACAAATCGGGATAGTAGTTTTCTTTTTTAATAAAAGTGGATTTTTTTTCTTATCAAATATAGTAAATAATTAAATTTAATAAATTTGTAACAATCGGAAGCTTATTATTTATAAATATATTTTTCTTATAATTAAAGTATTATATTAATGTAAATCATATCAATAATAAATTCTTTTTATTGTAATTAATCGGAATTACTTACTTGTATAAAATAAACAATTATAAAATTAACTGTATTATAAAAATTTAATAAAATGTTACCAATCGGAATATGCTATTTGTATAATAAGTAATAATAAGAATATTCCTATTGATGACTTAGGGATAATCCAATTGGAAACTGGATATTAATAAATTGATATCAATAAGAATAACCCTATTGATATCTTTATAACATACCGATTGAAACCTTATTGTATCCTATCTGCGCTATTATTTGTCATCAATCAGGATCATCTGATTTTAAAAAACAAAAAAATAGGGAACCAATCAGATCAAATCTGGCAACCCAGATTTGATCCGATTAGTCTCTTATTTGTCATCGTTTGACTAGTATAATGTACATATAAATTAGGATTGGATGGATTTAATGTACTAATTATTGAACTGAATAATGTGAGCTAGCTTCAAATAATGATTTGATTTACTTCTGCAGAGAATGTTCATGTCGCTTTTGAACTAAAGGATCAGAGATAAGAAATTTCAGCTCTTTGTTTTCATTGTTAATATCATCTCAACTTTTTTTATGCTCAATAAACCTATTTACCATATTAATAAATTTAACTTTGCAATTCAAATCAATTGCTAAATTGAGAGCCTTTTTCAACTTTTTGAACCCAGATACATATTTGACTTTTCTTTGTATATGCTATTTAATTTCAGCATTAAATGTGTCTGGTGATCTAATTTGATTAAAAATATGTAAATCAGTTGTTATTAGTTCATCATAACTCTCTTGTTGAAATTGTGTTATAATTTCTACAGTTTTATTTTATAAATTTGTTTGAATATATTGATCTTGAATATTTTTCAGGTATCATCGTTTAGCAATAAGATCAATACTAAATTTTGTGATTCTTGAATTCATCATAATATGAAAAAAATGTGAACATACGATATATGATTAATTATAGCTAAACAAGTGTATAAATGGTCTTATCAATCAATAAAATGACATAATGCTTATAAGATTTAGTCAACCCAAAAAGTTTCCAGATTTCTACAATACCAGATAATTGTACTTCTTCTAAAATAAAAAAAAGAGATGTCTGTGACGTCTGTGGCTTATCCATTTGATCCTCAAGAAATTCATCATCATTATCATATTGATTGGTATCCTAATAAAAAAAAGATAAATGTATATAAATACTTACAACTAACCTTAATAATTTGATCTGAATCTCTAACTCTATAATTTATATATCTGTCCCTTTTTCTAATCCTCAATCATATATTTTAATACCTAACCCTAACCCTAATTCTTGATTCTAACCTCTAACGTCTAACCCACTTAATCATTAATTTTAATATCTAATCCTTAACCTTAACCTCTAATATCTGACCCTCTAATTCTTAATTATCAATTTTAATACCTAATTCTAACCTTAATCCCTGACCCTAACCTCTAATACCTAACTATCTAATCCTTAATCATAGATTTTATTACCTGACCCTAACCCTAATTCTGACCCTAACCTCTAATGCTTGACTCTCTTTTTAATCCTTAACCCTAAACTCTGATTTTAATAATATTTACCCTTTAGTCTAGTAAATATTAAACATACCTTTATAATATCATTGATCATTTTTTTGGAAATAGATTTAGCATGATATAATAAAGATCCAGTTATCTGTTGCTGGACTAATAAAATATGTAGAGTCAGATATTTTTCATTATTGTAATAACCTCGGGAAATATAGGTTCAATAATTGATAGTGTATTGTTAGATGAAAGACTTTAAAGATATGAATTATGTTTAGCCTACTTGGCCTCATTATCTAATATTTTTTGAGCTTGATCATGTAAATTATACAGTAATGTTGTGTTACTAGTGGCTTCTTTAATTAAACAGTTTATAACTTCAACTCTCTGTGTACTTTGAATACCAGCTGTGAAATATCAGAATTGGTAATACCTTGCCTATGCTCAATGACAATTATTTAGTATATTTTAAGATATTCTTGAGCTAAGAAAATTTTTCAATTAATTGTGTCTATCGATGATTAAAATCATCCTTAAATAAACTATTTTAAGTATGCAGAAAGTTCTTAAAAAAGGATTTATAATTCTACACTAACTTCTTTGTTAGGTATTTTCTTAAATTCTCTTAGATATGAAAAATACAAAGAAAATGGTGAGTACTAGACATCTTTGATACTATTGCATTTATCAAAGTAGGATCAGCATCTGAAAATAAATAAACTGGTAGAATACTATTAGTCACTTGAAAAATACAACCAAGAAACCATTCATAACTTTTAATAGTTTCATCTTCAGATAAGTATTGAGCAACAAGACAGCTTTTAGTATTATTATCTATTACAACTAATAAAGTTAAGTACATGTCAAACTAGTTAGTTCGATATGTATTATCCACTTGTACTATATCATTATATCACATTAAACATTGATGCTGATTGGAAGACATCCAAAATAATCCTACAACTCTGTTATCGAATAGGTAAATCCTTGTATAAATAATTCAACCGGATTCTTGATCTTTTAATTCAAATAATTTATTAATCATATTTTATGCATCTCTATGTTGTTTAACAAGTAGTGTTTTAACTTTTTGAATTGTATTATAAAGATCCTTCTTGTGAATAAAATAATTAGGAAAACTTGCAACCAATAAAAGATATATTTGTTTTAAGTTCATGCTTCCTTTAGTAATATAAGATTCAATCCTTTCCAATATTTCATTTGGCAATTTTTGATATTTGGGAATATATAAACCAACATCAGTTATCATCAAATGATTGTATTGTCCCAAAATACTTATAACGCCTATTTCTGATGATAATTTAGGTTTTGTAAGATTAATGTGCTACAGACACAATATTTTCTGGGATAGTCACTGACATTGATGAGTTGTATTGATAACCTAGTTAGAAATTAGCTTCCCAGAAAAATTACATTCAAACTTCTAACGTTAAACGATCCCAGTATTATCAAATTCAATGCGCTTTTGATGTAAAGTAAATCCAACTGATCATGCATATTGATTGAGTTTATTTCTACATCTTTTCATGAAGGAAATGAAGTACCAATATTAAGTTGAATGTTGGTTTCAATCTCAAATCTATTGCTACTAGTTTCAGCTTCTACAAATTTATTTGTAAAACCATTTGAATCCTTATTATTATCAATCGTTTATTGCTTTTTATCTCTATCAAAAAAAGGTTAAACTTACAAATAAAAATGATGGAAAAAAGAAAAAAATTGCCAAACTTACTGTTTACATTCATATCATCTACGCTGATTCTATCTATATTAATATTATATATCAAAATATAATAAAAAAAATGAAATGATGGAATGGAGAGGATGGAGAGGAAGAGGAAGAGAAGAAAAGAAATAAAGGAAAGGATAAAAAGTTACTGATTGATCAATTAAAAAAATTTAATAAACGTGAAATCAAATAAGTCACGTGATCTTATAATACACGTGACTCCGGTGATTTTAACCACCTGTTATTAGAAGTAATTACCTTTTAAAAAATTATTATAATACAGTCGACCTTCTATACTGTCACACCCCTCAGAACCAAAAATAAAAAGTGTGACTATAGTGAAAAGTGACTATATAGAAGGATTTTTTTATAGTATTACTAAGTATTGGTTCCAAAATGATGTGACTATAATAACATTGTGATTATAGAAGGGTTTTTTATATAGTGTTAATAGGAACTGGTTTTTATGAAAGTTATGCTTATAACGGAGGATTTATATGATGTGATTGTATAGGGGGTGACTGTATAGGGGGTCGACTGTATAATAAAATTTTAAACTTAATTTTAAAATAAATTATTTTAAAAACCTTTTAAAAAACTTAAAATTTTTGTTAATAAAATTGATAAATATATATTAAACTATATTTTTTATATAATAATAATATTACTAAAATTAATATTTAATATTTTATAAAAAAATTACTACTTTTTTTTGATTTTGCAGGCAAATTTTCCTGCTATACAGTCTAAGGAATAAAGGTATATATATTATTAAAAATAAATTTAATTTTTAGAAGAATAATATAGATATTAAATTTTATTATTTAAGGATATTTTATTTATTTTAATTTATTTATATAATAAATGATAAATAAAAATAATGTAGATATATAATATTAATTTAAATTATTAATTAAATCAAAATAACAATACTTTTTAAAATATATATTTAAATACATATTTAAATATAAAGATAATTTTGTTTTGATATTAAAAAATTTTTTTTTTTACACTTGAACTCTTTTCTTAGCACTTACCCATTTGATACTCATGTAAATTATTAAAATACTTTGTAACATATTAATAATCTGGTTTTAATATCTTATTCTTAAGAAATATAAATATTTAAGAGAAATTATGTGATTATATAATTGTTAATTGATTTTGCATAGCTTTGCATAAGAGGGAACTCGAAATCTAGAATTATAAGGTTGAAAGTTATAAAAAAAAGAATCGAAATTATTAATATAATTATTGCAGATAACGATAAGATTTTTTTTATTTTGGTGGTTGTAAATTCAAATAATCATTAATGATTTTAGTATTTTATTTTGTGAATGAGAAAGTTATATATAAACAAACAAACAAAAAAAAAATAAAAACTTGTAAATACAAGAATGATACACAGGATGGCTTATTATTACCTTTGATGTTGTCATATTAACTATTATATTTTATAGTTTAAAGTAATCTGTTGTCGATCAAATACCAAATCCGAACTTTGAAGCGAAGCCACAAATTTTCGGGTGAAACTTGAATTTTAGAACATATATACTTTAACCATCCAAGAATTAATGCCGAAATTAGCCAACAAAACTTAAATTATGATTTTTAAAGAAATATTTATAAAAATAAATTTGTTTTTTAGCATTTAACTATAAAAAAATATACGGTTTACATTAGTTTGTAGATTTTCATACGGAGCTGTTAATTAGGATGAACAATTTCTCCGTCCATTACAATAGTTTTAATAGTTTTTAGCAATTAAATATTACCAGTTGGGTATTTTTTTCTTTTTTTGTTTTTCCAGATTTACCATAAATGTAGTGGTGGGTGCCTTACTCCTATTTACTGTGCAAAACTGATGATGCATTTCCTAATTTATTTAGCGTTAGCTGGTTCAGGACAATTATCCGGAGTTACTCATTCTGATTACTTAGGTAATAATTTATAATCTATCAAATATATCAAATAGAAAACGTAACATGTGAGACGTCTTTATTTAACATTCATTTTAATAGCATCTTTGATGAATTACACATAACTTTGATTAATGCAAGTAAAGAAGGAAAATTGTTATTATGAATGGAATTTAATGAAAAGCCTTTATTCCATATATATAAATGTATTTTTTTACCAAGAACGGACTTAAAATATTTTTTTTACTAAAAAAGAATCATGTAACAATGTGATCATCATGCATTTCCCTACATTTATTAGAAACCTTGAAAAGAGGGAATCTAACTTTTCAAGGAAACAATTTGTCAAAAAATATTGCTCGTTACATGTCCTGGCTTAACAGCTTGGCTTGAGCGTTTTCGCTCAAACGGATTATCACATGATTCGCCCATGTACAGTAGGATATCAAAATGTCTCATAAGCTGGCACAGCTGAGCGTCTTTAAACGATAATTTCCGTGATCACATCTTCCACAAATAAGGATCATTATATCTTGGAATCGGACAAATGCATCATTAAATTCGCGATACCCTGTTCGGAAGTTACACAAACACATCATTTGTTCCCATTTGAAATAAAGAAAAACCTTATTGAAATTAATTTCGTTATCTTATGTGTTAACATACACAATTTCATCAAATACATACATATAATAACCAATTCTCGAACCTTTAATCATGACAAAGAATAAAAGTTATAAGAAGAATATTTGTGAATCGGATTTTTTTTGATCCTTATAAAAAAAATATTTCTGATAAAGGTTGTTCAAAACCAATGATGATAAGGTAAATTTTTAATATTATACAAGAAAATATATTGTTCGTTTTTTCTTACAAGGGAAAAGGTTAAAATTAGAAAAACCATCCTTTTAGCATCAACATTCAATTGGCTGATCGTATGATATTTACTATTTTTCGTTACTCCGCAGAAGAATAATTTAAACATTAACTTATTATTAAAAAAAAATTAAGGGTCAAGATTTTCAGCGTTTCAGAATTTTTTTTTATATTCATGACTTATTACAGTAATTCTTTTTCCACTGTTCCTTTCCAAATCCGTGATACCTATCCTTTTGTTTCCTCTAATATTAAAAAAAAATTTTTTTTCCCAATTCCTTAAGGAAATTTTTTTTTTAATTCCCCCTTCTTCTTACTTCCCAAAAAACATAACATTATTATTTTTTTTTTTTTACGAGTTTTTTTTTTTCTTCATTTTCAAAAATATCTTTATTACCACCTAACTTTACCTTTACAAATTCTCTATCTCCCTACCCCTTAAAATAAAAACTCGTACTCAAAAAAAAAAGTTTACAGCCCTGCGGGCCGTTTAATAATAATCTTTCTTTTGTACAACTAGTATTTTTTTTCTTATCTAAATAAAAATGGGTTGTTGTTTGAGTCAAGAAGAAAAGGAAGGAAGACAAAGGAATGATGAGATTGAGAACCAGCTTAAAAGAGACAGGCTCTCTATGCGTAACGAAGTAAAAATGCTCTTGCTAGGTAAGTAGAGGGATTCGCCGAAACTAGCCATGTTTTGTCTTTACATGCATGAACTTCAAAATTACTGAACATTCTTTCTAATGCTATCGATATTATCTCATTATCTATAGGTGCTGGTGAATCGGGCAAGTCAACAATTCTTAAACAAATGAAACTTATTCATGACGGTGGTTATTCTCCTGAAGAGAGGGAATCGTTTAAGGAAATCATCTTTTCAAACACCGTACAATCAATGCGCGTTATCTTAGAAGCTATGGATGTTATGGGAATATCTTTAAAAAGTGAAGGAAATCAAAAATATGTTGCTACTATAATGAATTTGCCTAATCAGATTGAAGGGGATCACTTGCCTCCTGAAGTTTCCTCAGCAATTAAATCTTTATGGGCTGATAAAGGTCTTTTAGAATGTTTTAACAGATCTAGAGAATATCAATTAAATGACTCTGCAAAATAGTAAGTTTTAAAACAAAAATCTTAATATTTAATACTTAGACATTGAAAATGATTTAACACGTTATCCTGCGAGAGGGATAATTAAATGAAATTTGTGAACAATAAAATCAACGAGATATGATTATTTTTGCATTTCATTCATTTTTCTTTTATCACACGCAAGTAAACCTCTTCAAAATTCTGCGCTTAGTTTCGGCAAAA